GGAGCAGTTGGGTTCGCGCACTCTTCGCCCGCCGCGTCTTCCTGGGACTCTCCTCGCGTCGCGGAGCCATGGCGTTCGCCGAGACCAACCCGGCGGCATCCTCCCTGCCCAACGGCGACTGCGGCCGTCCCAGGGCGCGTCCCGGAGGGAACCGGGTGACAGTGGTGCTTGGCGCGCAGTGGGGCGACGAAGGCAAAGGGAAGGTGGTGGATCTGCTGGCTCAGGACGCCGACATCGTGTGCCGCTGCCAGGTGAGGCATCGGGGCTCGACGGGAAGTCGGGCCTGGGGCTCGGGCCGTGAACCCGCATTTTCTGGCCAAAATGAGGTGTCACCTTGAGGTTCTTTCCTCTTTCTGAGGTCCGCGGCCACGGGGAGAAATGGCGGGAGGTCAGGTACCCCTGACCTGGAGTCAGGGTGAAGAAGCTTGGGTGGCGCTGTAGGAAACGGGAGCTGCCGGGAGCGTCGGAGAGATGCGCGATGCCTGGGGAAGCTGCAGGCTTGGGTCGGGGCGGGGGTGTGCGGTCTCTGCTCAGCCTCGGGACGGGAGCGGGATGGGGGTGGGGTGCGGTCGGAGTTTGAGGCGCCACAGCCCCGGCCTGCTCCCCACTGCGAGCGGACACCGGGCGCCTCGGTGGAACCTCCCCACACCCACCCACAGTCGGCGGCGAGTGCTAGAGGATCGTTCCAAAATCAGACTCGCCACTCCCCCACCTGCAGTCCCTAGGCGTGTAGAGCTTTGCCTCCCGCGGTCCACTTTGTTGTCATCAGAACCTACCCCTGGGCTTTGGACCGTTGAAGGACGCTGGTTTTGTTTTGTTTTCCTCCGTATCACGTAAATTCGTATTCAGGGGAGATTGTTTTTCTTCATTGATTTCAGAGGAAGGAATTCCCGCTCTGTTATAAAATAACTAAGCAAGTAAATACCTGGGTATCAGATCGAGTATTTAGAAATATTAACATTGTTATGGTCACATCGAAAGTGAACTTTCGGGAAATGGAAATGGTAGTGTACTTCCTATCAGGAGACACGTGGTTTTGTGTGTAAGCTTTCTTCCTATTTGTCATTTGTTTCAAAGAAGGTTTAGAGGCTGGGTTTTTTTGTTTTGTTTTAATAATTATGGTCAATTGCTTTTTTAAAAAAATGATTTTATTTAATTTTATTTATTTTTATTCGACCAGAGAGGTACAGAGTGAGAGAGAGAGAATGGGAAAGAGAAAGTGAGACAACAACCCACCAGGTCTGGGACTGGAACCATGGTCTCCCTTGTGGGAATCCAGCGCCCCTAACCACAATGCCACCTGTGGCTGTTTTTTCTTTTTCTCTCTCTCTCTTTCTTTCTTTCTTTCTTTCTTTTTTTTTTGAGAGAGATTTTTGCTGTAGGGCACGTGCGCTCGCCCAAAAGACAAACAGAGACAGAAAGACAAATCAACCCCCAGCGGGGGTTGGCCTGGCTGCAATCCCTTCTCCTTCATTCTCCATTCTTCTCTTGGGTTCTTGGACACACACTCACAGGAGCCCAGAGGGAGTTTAAGCCACCGGGTTGGGGACTCAAACCACAGCAACTACATAGGAGTCCAGTGACATAGCCATTACATCAACTGCTGGTCCCTGCTTGTTTTTTTTTAAATTGCTCTCAGATAACTTGTCTGGATTTCAAAATTTGAAATAGATGAGCAATAACAATGTTCTAACCAAAAGTAGTACAATATTGAAAATTAGCTTCTGTCTTTTTCGATTGCAACAATACTTCTTGTTCTTGAATGTACAAGGCACAATATGGTGATGCGGTGCTGAGGTGTGCTACCAACTTAGTGGGCTCACTTGATTGGAAGCTTTCTGTCTAAAATTGCATACTGTTTAGGCTTGCAGAAACAAGGAAATCAAGGTATGAAAAACTAAATGCAGGTGTTCTCTGACTTATCCTGTTGTGGTTTGTTTTATGATGTTTGATTTTTACATGCTAAGCGCACCTTCCAGTTCCTTGTTTAGGACTGCTCCAGGGGCCTAGTACTACTTTCCAGCCCTCTTTCTGCTCCACCCTGTGGCAGCACACATACCCTCTCCTAGGTATTGCCACAGTATTGGTGCCCCATACTGCCTTCAAGCTGCGGCAGAAGCCCACCCTTCACCTTCCTCTTGTTTTTTTTCTTTTTTTTTTTTTGGAGAGGTTTGTGCTATAGGGCGCGTGCGCTCGCCAGACAAAGACACACAGAGAAATAGAAAGCAAGAAATCACCCCCAAGGGGGATGGCCACGCCGCAATCCCTTCCCCTCCATTCTCCTCTCGGGATCTTGGGCACGCATGTACACGCGCCCGGCGTGAGTTTTAAGCCACCGGTTCCGGGACGCGAACCACAGTCGACTACATGGGAGTCCAGCGACATAGCCATTACGCTAACTGTTGGTCCCTTTCCTTCCTCTTGTTTTAAAATCATATCTGGTTACATTGTGGGGAAGACATATAACAATACCTAATTCTTTGACGGGGTAGAAGGGAAAAGATGTTAGGCCTGTTTGTCTCTTTCCTCTGTTATTCTTGATGTCCTGTTTAATCTATATTAGGGATGCTAAGGTTTGGGATGTGTAACCATTGTTGAATTTACTCAAAAAAAAATCTTCAATACTAATATTCCTTGAAAAACAGTTGAAAGTTTGTAGGTTAGAGAAGGTGTTACTGTGTTATTGAGAAAATAGTCTTTGAGGTTATGAACCAATCTGATCGGATGCCCTTGTAAAGGCCAAAGAAGTGATTGAGAAGGATCCAAGTTTGGCATTAAAAATATTAGCCAAATGGATCAGCAGATGGTGTAATGTTTATGTCACTGGACTTCCACATGGTCGACTGTAGTTTGTAGTCCTGGACTGGGTGGCTTAAAACTCAACACCAGGCATGTGTGCCCAAAATCCAGAGAGGAGAATGGAGAAGGGATTTCAGTGGGGTTATCTCCCCTGGGGGTGATTTCTCACTTTCTGTCTCTGTGGCCAGTATACATGCCCTATAGCAAAAATCTTTCTTAAAAAATTAACTGAAGATAGTAGAGAAACAAATGAGTGTATTTGCTTGGCCGACTTTCTTTACCTGTAAATTTTTTTAAAAAAATATTTTATTTAACTTCATTTTAATTAGACCAGAGAGGTACAGAGTGAGAGAGAGGGAAAGTGAGAGAGCAAGCCACTAGATTTGGGACTTGAACTGCAGTCAGCCATGTGGGAGTCAGCACCCTTAACCACCATGCCACCTGCTGCCCCCCCCCTTTTTTTTGAGAGATTCTTGCTATGAGCCACATGCATTTGCCAGAGACAGAAAGCAAGAAATCATCCCCTGAGGGGATGGCCACACCACACCACAGTCCCTTCTCCATTCTCTTGGGATTTGGGGCATGCACACACATGTGCCCAGCATGAGTTTAAGCCATTGAGTCCAGGACTAGAGCCACAGTCAACCCTGTTGGGAGTCCAGTGATGTAACCATCACACCATCTGCTGATCATTACCTGTAAACTTTCAACTTACTTCTTTTATACAATCTTTATATTCTAGTGATTTTTAAAAGCTGATTGGATTCTTGTTAGTCTTATTAGAGAAGAGTAGATAAGTAAGAATAGACTTAAACACCTCTTTTAATTTCTTTCTTTTTTTTTTTTTTTTGAGAGGTTTTCGTTATAGGGCGCGTGCGCTCGCCGGACAGAGAGAGACATAGAGACAGAAAGCGAGAAATCACCCCCCAGAGGGGATGGGCACGCCGCAGTCCCTTCTCCTCCATTCTCCTCTCGGGCTCTTGGGCATGCACGCACACGCGCCCGGCGTGAGTTTTTAAGCCACCAGGTCCGGGAAGCGAACCGCGGTTGACTATGTGGGAGTCCAGCGACATAGCCATTACACTAACTGCTGGTTCCCTTAAACACCTCTTTTATGATTCACCTTGGTAACTACATTTATTTGGTCACCTGAAGTAAGTTGACATTTATTAAACTTAATGAGGTTCTTCTAGGTTATAAAATTGAAGAATATGGAATGTTGAGATTTTATTTTATTTTATTTTATTTATTTATTTATTT